AGGAGCTCCTCCAATGTGATGCCGTCATATACCACTTCTCTCCTTCCTCTAGGGTGGCAGATCTTCTTTTTTAGCTTTCGGCTGAATCGCACTTTTGCTCTAAGGAGGCGGTGATCTGGGCCCCTACTGAAGGATGGCACGACTGAGACGTCCACTAAGCACCACTTTCGGTTGGTGAGAATGTGGTCGATCTCCGCGTATTGGCTATCAGTTGCTTGAAATATGATGCAGTCAGATCCAAATTGTGTGCTCTCCTCCTCTCTAGCAGATCCTTGCTGGTTTTCGCAATTCGTTCTATGCCCCTTGTTTGAGACATTGGGGCACATCACCACAGGCCCTCAGTCCTCAAGAAAGGTTATAGTTCTCCGCGATGGGCCAGTCACAAGTGGTCAGGAGCTCCTCCAATCTGTCATATACGAGTTCTCTCCTTTCTCCAAACGGCTAAAAATTTTCCTCTCCAGCTCGACTGATTCGTACTTTTGCTCGAATGAGGCGGTTCTGAACCACGTTGAAGGATGGTCAACTGAGACGTCCAGTAAGCACCATATTTAGTCGGTGAGAATGTGATCTATCTTCGCATGAGTCGTACCGTGAGTGATCCCATGTCCACCGCAGGTGTTCTTCTTCATGAAGATGGAGCTGCCATGAAAAAGTCGTGTGGCGGATAAGAGCCCAACAAGACGGTTACCATTCTCATTCCAGGGTCCTAGTCCAAATCTTCCGATCCTATGCTCTTCTTCTTCTCAGATCGCGATTTTCGCGTTGATCACCCACGACGAACTCATAAAAGGAGTTTTGTTTGCGGATAATATCCTCCAAATTTTCATTAAAAAAGCTCCTTTGTTCCGAATCATCAGCTGCTGGTGTTGGAGAATAGCAGTTGATGATAGTGATTGTTTTTTGATGCAGAGGACGGACTCGAAGAATAGAGGCGAGGTAATAGGATCTCATGCGAATCGACAAGATGGACAACAGATGGGTATACGAGAAATCCAACGCCTCCAACGTTCCGTGAGAAGCTTTCTCACCACAAATTATGAGTGTGTCATCACTCAGCTGCCTCACGTCCGTC